GTCTTCATGGGTTCTAATCTTACCCTTGCAATTTCCTAATGGTGTGGGCAGTAGCTTCCCTCCTGGTCCTCAGTGATATGCGAGGGAGGGATGGGCCAGCCTCTGAAGCTTGAGTTAATGATTGGCCCAACAGACTGTGGCCTCCTCCTTGCAGCAGGGACAGCTGGTGCTTCTGTTAGGAGCCTGGCTTGAATGCTGCAGCTCTGAGGAGCTAATTGAGGGCCAAATCAGTTTTCTCAGGCGCACAGGCCCTCAGCGGCTGTAAGTCTGCAGTCAGGGTTAAGGGAGGTGAGGCGGTCTGTGGACACGAAGTGCTGAGACGGGAGCGTGTCCAGCATGTCGGGGGCAGTTCTCCTAAAAGGAGGGCTCCCCATTGGATTTACGATTCACTGGGTTTCTTATGCAGACTGAAATGGCTTCAGCAAAATGTGAATAGCTGTCACTGATTTACAGAGGACTTTTGTTTTTCCTCCAGGAATCTTCTCTTTGCTCTACTCAGGGATCCTTAGCTGGTGCAATCATTTTATCCCCCTTTGCAAACCTTGTTAGGTTCTGTCTGTCTCGGTACTTTAAATAAAAGTTACTTTTTGGCAAGCTTGACTTTGTAATGGTTAAAAAAAAAAAAAACAAGAAGAAGATATGATTGCTTTAAAGGCAGAGAGTCTGGGTGTGCGGTTGCCATGGAAACGATTTAGTACTGTAAACTTTATTTTATAGGATGCCCAGCTAAGTAATTGGTCAGGAGGGAAAGAAAGACATTGCTAGAAACAATTTCTTCTGGTATGTGTGGCAGGGGGAGAAGGAAGGAGGAAAAAAAGAAGGAAGGAAGGAAGGAAGGAAGGGGAAAGCTATACTAGTTAGGAAAGGCCAGCAGGTGGTAAGGGGAAAGCTTTCCTGTCTGCTCAGGGAAAGAGTTAGAAGACAGCTTGCGTTTTGGAGGCAGGAGTCTCAGGACTCAGACGTGCTTTTTCTTTTTTCTCTTCTGTCTGGGTTAAAACACCAGGCGGAAGTCAGAAAGAGAGAGCTAGGAGTCGTGATGGCTCGTGCCTGGAATGAAAGCGTTTGGAAGTGTCACAGGAGGACAGCTGTGAATTTGAGGCTAACCTGAGCTACATAGTAAGTTCCAGGTCATAGTGAGACTCAGTCTGATACACAACAGTGAAGAGAAAGCTAGAGGTGGAGGGAGAAGAGTCATGAGCAAGGACATTAACATTCCTAGCTGAAAGTTCAGTCTCCTGTACCGGGAACGTAACTCATGAAGAGACCCTGGGTTCCATCCCCAACACACACATGCAGACACACACACGAGTCCTTATGGCTAGGAGGCACCTATGAGGTGCCAGTGGCTACTAAGCAAAGATACCTGTAACTGTTTTTGTTACTAAGGGATTTCTACGTCCTCAGAGATGATCAGATATTTTCTAGGAGTTTTTGTTTTTTTAAAGGTTCTACATTTTATTACTGGAGAAACCACTCTCAACTTAAACATGATCAAGTCTCCAGATTGAAAATGTTGAACTTCATCTTGTAACACTCATCAAGGATCACGATTCATCATGAATTGTTTTGCCATTCATTGTTGACTCCTTACAGACCCAGCTTCGTTCTCCTCCAGTGTCTTCTCTTGGAGTTGTACCTGATTTTGTCGCCAGTTTTCCTCCGAATCCACTGAGGAATAGGACGATTTTGCTTTTGTTTCTTAGCCAGGAATCGCTTGATTCTGAAAGTCTTGTGAGAAGACGTGGCGAGAAGGCTGGGCGGGCAGGTGGCACACGACGGCGAAGGACATTTTCTAGGAGTTTTAATGCTGGGTTCAAACCCAGAGTCTTATGCATGCTACCAATTGAGCTACAAACACAGCCCTATGCTTTAATTTATATCTTTATTTTAGTGTCTATTTTGTGCAAAGCATAAAACAGACACGATACTTCCCTGCAATGAGTTTGCATTCTAGGTAAGGAAACATGAAAATAATCGGTGGCTATCTGTCATCAGCTGGTGTAGTCACAGAGGCCCAGGGTGGGCCTGGAACCTGGTAGATCACAGACTTACACTCTCTTGCTTAAATCAGCAGCCTGACAGTAGATACTGTCATCTTAGTTTTCATGTAGGAAATGGAATTACTGGTTCATAAAGCAGCCAGTTCAAGGTCACAAAGCAGAGCGGGGACTTGACTCCCAACAGTGAGGCTAGCCTCTCTGTGTTCTCAGACAAGTTGCATGGGCTGCCTACGGCACGGCCTTGGACTGAAATTGCTTCACAGGAGTTGGGAACCATCTGACGATAGAGCTTTGAGAATAACCGCATTTTAGAGTGGAGCTCCTGAGGGCTCAGAGTCGTCCCTTGGTTCCAGTTTCATTTGGCTGCTGTGCTAAAATGCCCAGATGACAAGCAACTTCAGGGAGAAAGGGCGCTGTGGATGTCTGACTGTAACTGACCCCCATAATCTCATACTAGGAGGTGTGGCTTTGTTGGAGTGGGTTTGGCATGTGGAAGGAAGTGTGTCACCGTGGGGCGGGCTTTGAGGTTTCCTGTGCTCAGGATACTGCCCAGTGTCTCAGTTGATTTCCTGTTGCCTTCAAGATGTAGGACTCTCAGCTACTCCTCCAGCACCACGTCTGCCTGCATGCCACCATGTCCTGCCATGATGATAATGGACTGAACCTTTGAACTGTAAATGAGTCCCTTCAATTGAATATTTTTCTTTATATGAGTTGTCATGGTCATGGTGTCTTTTCACAGCAACAGAAATCCTAAGACAGGCTTCTTCAGCGTATCGCTCCTGGCTAGTCTGTCACAGCTGCAGGAGCACAAAGTCATTAATCACAGCACACAGTTTGGAGCAGAACGAAATGCATGCACGCAGCTCCGCTTGCTGCTCTTCTCCGTCCCTGTATGGTCCAGGACACACGCACACAACACCCTTCTGCTTCCAGCCTAGGGAATCGTGCCACCCACAGTGCCCTGGGTCTTCCCACATCATTCACAACAAGACAGTCCCACACAGATACGCCCACAAGTCAACCTAACCTAGCTAACTCTTCCATTAACACAGCTTTCCGGGTGATCTAGGCTGTGTCAAGGCCGTAGCTTAATCAACACACTGGGCAAAACAAAAACTCCTTCTGCTCCCTCTCTCTGAACTTCATATCTCATCCCTCTTTTTTCAGCAGAGCTGACATTCAGACTCGTCTTGTGAACCTCGAATAGTGAAGCTGACCCACAGACCTGACACACTGGAGAGGAAGTGCTGGAGGCTCAGGGAATCACAGGTTAGCTGGGCACCAGTCAGGCCTGCTTCGAGCATCAGTGGAGGACAGCAGCCACCAGGTATCTGTGGCACCTCAGAGGAGAGCATAGGGGTGACAACCTTTGCCATAGCTTTTAAGGTCCCATTTGGCAGGGACTTGCTGTGTAGCTTCCAGAAGTGGCTGCGTCTCCCCGAGCCTTAGTTTCTCTTTCTGGCTATTTATTCCCTCTGAGGCTACTGGATGATGTTTCCAGTTCACAACTAGTAGCCAGGATGGATAAGTGGAAGCAAGTCACATGACCTTGCTCGACATCATGGACTGAGAAGTTCAGAGCCTGGGTGCAAGCCCAGGCCCTCCTCCCTGTCTGTCAACTCTTCTGTGAGTTGGTGAACCAGAGCAGCTTGTTCTGGGCAATCCTCCTTCCTCCAGACTGTCCCTGGGAGCGACCTGAGGGCCAGGACGAGGTACAGTCCTCTCTTCTGGAGCCAGACTCACCACTAGACAACCTGCAGAATCGCCTGTGATTGACAAGTACAACTGTTTCCTTGAAAAAAAAAAAAATTAAAATCAGCCAACCAGGCATTTGTAGCCTTAGCTGTCAGGTGGCGAGTGCAGCCAGAGTTATTTCTGAAATAATTAGTGTCTGTGCCCGGCGACTCCCACCTGAGGTGTGAAGAGCGGGACAGGGTGGGGACTCAGAGGGTTATTTCTATCAGCTGGGCCTGGAGCATTGGCTGCAGCTTTTGAGTTTCAAGATGGCAGACTCCTGCTTGTGGCTTGGCTGAGGGAGCCAGTAGAGTCATCCCCTGAAGGGAAGACACTAGGAGGGATTTACCTTATGCTCAGGCCCACACATCACCACAGGAATGCCTTGCCCTCTGTCACAGTCCATTCCACAACCATGGGCCAGAGTTCAGTTAGAGCCATTTCCACTTGCCATAGCCCCAGTGTGCCCAAAGTCAGTGGGTTTTGAAGTCTGCTGTGTACCAGGCTCACTGAGAGGACCGTGCCACTCACAGAGTTCTCTGGAGACAAGCTGTGTACTCAGATGGAAAAGCTGAGGGCTGAGAGAAGTTGTGTCAACTGCCCAGCATCACTTAGAGTGTGGCAGAGGAAGGACCGAAGACCGGGTCCCTGAGATCCTGACAAAGTATTCTGATGGAATTTATAATCTCACACATACAGGCAAGCTCTCTGCCACTGAACCGTAGCACCAGCCTGACCCTGCTTGACTTCCTTAGAATTGAAGGTAGCCACCACCATGCCTGTTTTATGTAGTGCTGGGGCTCCAGCCCAGGGCCTCGTGCATGCCTTTAATCCCAGCACTCGGGAGGCAGAAGCAGGTGGAGTTTGAGGTCAGTCTGGTCTACAGAGTGAGTTCCAGGACAGACATGGCTACACAGAGAAACCCTGCACCACAAAACCAAACTAAACCAAAACCAAAACAACAACAACAAAAAAACACTGAACATAGTTCAAAACTGCAGAAGAACACAAGAGTGTTCAAAGATGGCCGTCTCTCCCACCATTCTGCACTGGAACTTGCTTTGTAGACTAGGCTGGACCATAACTCACAGAGATCCTCCTGCCCCTCCCTCCAGAGTGCTGGGATTAAAGGTGTGCGCTACCCAGCTTACACCCCTTGTTTTATGTAGAAGTTTCTCCCCCAGTCTTGTCATTTAACTTTGTTTATTGTGTCATTTGCCACAGAAGCATTTATTTTTGTGTAGTCAAACCTGTCAGCCATGATAGTATTTTAAGAAAATAAAGTTTATTTTTAAGTACCACATTTTTATTTAGATAGTGCAGTTTTAACACGAAACCTCACTTCGCTTCCCCGCCAGATGTCATCTATTCTAAGTAATGTGAAAAAATAAAATAACAGGTCAACTAATACATGAAGTTTTATTTTTTCCCCCAATACTAGATATGGAATAGCCTTCACATATGCCCAGCAGGAGCTGTATCATTGAACCAGCCACAGCTCGCCTCCACAGCTTGGTCCAGATGTGTCCCCTGTCCCAGACAATGCCGACAGTGATGACAGAGATAAAGATGATGATGGCGAGAAAGATACAAAGATGACAGCAATGATGACGAAGGTGATGATGATGACGACGACGACGAAGGTGATGATGATGACGAAGATGATGATGACGACGACGAAGGTGATGATGATGATGACGACGAAGGTGATGATAATGATGGTGATGATGACAATGAAGGTGATGATGATGACGACGACGAAGGTGATGATGATGATGATGACGACGAAGGTGATGATGATGACGAAGGTGATGATGATGACGAAGGTGATGATGATGGTGATAAAGACGGAGGAGAAGATAGAGACGATTGTCGTGATGATAAAGGTAGTAATTAATAATGATGGTAATGAGCACGATAGGATAACGAGGATGAAGAAAGCTTCTGCTTCATGCCGGGGGCTCGATCACTCTCTTCATGTTGCCTCCTCTACCCTTACAATTGCCTTTTCACTTTTTCTGAGATGGTCTTACTGTATGGCCTGGAATTTGACAGGTAGCCCAGGTTAGCCTTGAATTTGTGGCAATCCTCCTGCCTCAGTCTCCTTAGTGCTGAGATGACAGACATGTGCCACCACTCCTGGCTTTTTAAAACATTCTTTTAGATTTATTTATTTTAGTTTCTATGTATGAATGTTTTGTCTACCTGTATATGTGTGTCCCGTGTGTATGCCTGATGCCCAAGGAGATCCAAAGAGAGCATCAGCTCCCCTGGAACCAGAGTCCTGGACCACCAGGTAGGTGCTGTTCTGTAAGAACAGCACATGCTCTTAACTGCTAAGCCATTTCTCCAGTCCCAGATCTTTTTTTTAAATTGGTGTATGGGTTGGGCATGGTGACACATACCTAATCCTGGAGCTCAGAAGGTAGAGGGAAGAGAACCAGAGGTTCAAGGCCAGATTGGGCAGCATGAGAACCTAGTCAAGGAACCTAGAAGAAGGGAGAAAAGGAGAGATATTATGTCATAAAACTCACACATGCACCCATTCTTTCTCACTTTTCAAGAGAAATGACATTTATTTGTTTATTACTGAGGGTAGATTACCAATGGCTCCCCCTCTGTCCCTGCATCTTTCTTTCCCCTTAAGAGTCTTGACTATCGATTGGGCAGTGGTGAGGCAACCTTTAATTCCAGCACTTGGGAGGCGGAGGCAGACAGATCTCTGTGAGTTCGAGGCCTACCTGATCTACAAGAGTGAGTTCCAGGATAGGCTTTAAAGCTACAGAGAAACCTTCTGTTTAGAAAAACCACCACCAACAAAAAAATCCACCAAAAGAGTTTTGATTATCAATCTCAATACACTCAATAAATACAATTGCATGGATAACTCATTCCCCATGCTTGCAGCACTCAGGCAGCTGTCTTCCTTAATGAAGTCCCTGTCTGAGAACATGCCATCTGTTGGAGGCACAGCAAGGTATAGCTAAGAAGTCTACAACAGTTTAGAAACAAATTACTTAGACTGCCTGTTTCACATGCTCAAGCTACCCCCCAAAGCTGCCAAGAACCAGAGAGCACGGTTTTCCGGTGCCTCCCTGTGCCTCCTCTCCTCCTGGTCCTTTGAAAACAAGATTTCCTCTCCTGGGTGCATACTGGAGGACATCACGCATTTGGCCAAACATCTGGCCCTATTCAATGCGATGAGCCGCTGGGATGACTTCTCATACAGCTCAACCTAGTGACTCACTAGAGTCTAGGCAGGAGTGTCACCCGGGTCCACCACCTGCTGTCTGTCACTTCACTAAAACTCGGTTACTCATGAAGGCCACGGCCAGCAGATGGCTACCGTTCCTGTGGCTGAAATGAAATCAGATGTAGGATATTTTTGCATCAGTGTGTACTTATTGCAGATACCTTGAGCTATTTTGTAAATTTTATTTATTGCTGCTAGGAGCTTTAATAGTCAACATGACAGACATCACCTAGTCATCCGAGAGGAAAGCCTCAATGAGGAATTGACGAGATCAGAGGAACTGGCCTCGGGTATGTCTGTCGAGAATTGTCTTGATTATTAATTGATGTAGGAAGCTCCTAGCCCACTGTGGGCAGGAGCATTCCCTAGGTAGCTAGGTGGTCCTTACATGTACAAGAAAGGTAGTTAAGCATGAACCGCGGAGATTCAGGTGCCTCCTGAGCCTCCTGCCCTGACTTCCTACAGTGCTTGACTGACCTGGAAGTCTCAGCCAGATAAATACTGTCCTCCCCTAAGTTGCTTTTAGTCAGAATGAAGCTGGAACGTCTGTTGTCACTGTCATCATCATCAGTGTATGTCCACCCATTGCCTTACTGTACCTGTCAGAGCGCGCGCGCGCGCGTACACACACACACACACACACACACACACACACACACACACACACACACCGTGGAGTCCATCCTCTCCTTTCACCTTTATTTGTATCCGGGGAATGAGATTCAGGTTACCCCGCTTTCCAGGCAAGTGCCTTTATATGCTGAGTCACCTCATCGGCCTCTTTCTTTCCCTTTATCTCAAGCATTTCACGAATGGAACGGTGCTGCCCAAGGCCCAGGCCTGCTCTCTCAAGCCGTTCCACCACTGCTGTGAGGTCGGCCCTGCTCTCCCCAGAGACCCTGTGAAACTTTCACCAAAGGTCAGTGAGTGGAAACAATGTCTCCTTCAGTCAGAAGCAGCCACTGACTTTCTGAGAGCATCTTTGAGGCTGGCTAGCTACCCGGGAGACTGTAAGAAACTAAGCAAGGTGAGTGATTCTCAGTTTGTTTGTGTGTGGAGTCCGTCCACAATGACCTTGAATTTGATAAGTAGCTGAGGATGACCTTGAATTCCTTTATTAGTATTATTATTATTTTCAAGACAGGGTTTCTCTGTGTAGCCCTGACGATCTTGGAATGCACTCCATAGACCAGGCTGGCCTCAAACTCAGAGATCCACCTGCCTCTGCCTCCTGAGCGCTGGGGTGGCCTACATGGACCATCATGCCCAGTTTATTCTGGGCTGGGGTGGGCCACAGGCTTCCTGCGTGCTAGACAATTTTCCTCCAGCCCTGACTATGTAGTCTAACAGGACTGAAGAAGACATAACTCAGCTTTAGGAAAAATGAAGAGAAGGCCCTGTTGCCTTTCAGTTTGCAGGCCCTGACAGAGTAGCCATGTTTTAAAAGAGGCTCACGTGGGAAGACCCCAGTCCGTCTCCCGGCTAGCGAACGATAAAGCGCCTCAGTCCAACCCACAAACAAGAGAGTTCTGCCAGCTCCCTCATGAGTATGGAAATGGTTCCTTCAGCCCAGACCTCATCCAGGCAAGCATCTCTTGTATACACTGAGAAGGTAACCAGTGACCTGGGCCTTTGGCTGCACCAAGTCTTAGAGACTGTAGGTATGGCGAAGGCTGGTGTGATCCTACCCCGTGGTTCACTGCTTCACCATCTTTAACAGTTTCACTGGTGTCTGTGAAACAGTAAACCGGAAGCAGATGCAGACCCTGAAGGGGTGAGAGTCAAAGAATGGGGTGGGGATCACGACCCGGTCTGTGGGGGCTGGCACTCACTGCTGTGCCCACAGATTCCAAAAGGGTGAATCCTGTGATTTTTACTGAAAAACAAATAATTTTCTTTGAAATTACATGTCACATATTTTTATGTGCGTGCATGGATTCGAGCATGGTTGTGTGTGGAGGACACTTATGGGTGTATGGTCTCGCCCTCCACCACGTGGGTCCTGGGATCAAACTCAGGGTGTCAGTCTTGGCAGCAGGCACCTTACCTGCTGAGCCATCATCCCTCTGGCTGGAAAAGCAAATAACTTCAAAGAGAGCCCAGGCGTCTAGAGATGATCTTAAATGCTTGCCCTGTTTATTCCCATTAAACCCCATGCTGTTACTAGAATGAATAAAACCCTTGAAAAGAAAAAAGGAAAAATAAAATTTTTAATTAAAAGTTTTATTTGTCCTACCGGGTGTGGTAGTGTACTCCTTTAATCCGAGCAGCTGGGAGGAAGGAAAAAAGGATCTCTGGGTTCAAGGCTAGGTTGATCTACACAGCCAATTCCAGGACACCCAGAGTTACAAAAACATGAGATGGGGTCTCATACAGCCCAGGCTGGCTCCCAACTCTCTAAGTAGCCAAGGATAGTCTTGCATTTTTGATCCTCTTGCCTCCACTTTATGAGTTCTTGGTGACAGACTTGCACCACCACTCTGGCAATTTTAAAAAGTGGTGGGCTAGAGAAAGACGCCATGGGACAGAGTTCACGTGGAGGGGTTTTTATTAGGGGAAAGGAAACATAAAAAGGGGGAAGAGGCGGGGACCTGGGGATTTCTGGGGACAGGAGCAGCAAAAGAGAAGAGAGAGGCAGAGAGAGAAAACGGGGGTGGGGGGAGGAAGGGCAGAGAGACAGGCAGAGAAGTGGAGAGAGAAAGAGGAACAGATGGGGAAAGGGAAAGTTGAGAGGTGGGAAAGGCTCACCTGTTAAAAGGGAACGTAGTGAATGTGAACAGGAGCTGCTCTTAGTGGCTGCAGCTGAGGATGCTTCCTGTCAGGACCCCAAGGGCAGGCCAGTGCAGATGCCTGAATACTAACCGTACCTGGTTTATGAGGTGCTGAGAGTTGAACCCAGGGCTTCGTGAGTGCTAAGCAAGTGCTCTCCCAGCTAAGCTACGTCTCCAGCCCCTAGGAAGTCTTGATAAACATGTAGTCAGTGTGCATATGAATGTGGTCCAGTGTAACATCTCAATCCACTGCAGCAAATGACATTGGTCCAATCCAGACTTATCCACTCTCCACCAAGCACAGGGATTTAAAGCCAGACCTACCTGGATACAAATTCCATTTTCACTATTTGACTCAATGTCAAGAGACTTAACCTCTCCAAATAGGTTTCCTCTTCTTTAAAATGAGGTCATTTATTTCCAGTGGCATGACAAGGATAGGAGATCTTACATGTGTGAAATCCCTCACACAGTGCAGAGTGGGTTTCAAAAAATAGAAGCCACTATGTCTGTGGTGAGTCCCTTCGCTGCCTGCAGGGAAAGACTTTGTTCAGAGGCTCACTCTCACCCGCTGCGCCGCCCATCTCGTCCTGGTCCCAGCGCACGCGCTCTAAGTCATTGGCAAATACGGGGACTTTTCTCCCTACGGAGGGTATCAGAGCTTGAGGTAGCACCAGCGGCCGGAACTAAAGCGTCTTTTGGACTTTTCATTCTAAATGGAGAAACTGAGTCCCGAGGAGATGAAGGCCCTTACTCATGTGGTGCATTGTTCCTTCAAGGACACAGGTGCTCTCAGCTGCTCTCCTTGTCCCACATTGCCTGAGGGTCCGGGAGTTAGTGATGGCTGTGGTGCAGCCCTGTGGTGGAGTCCCTACCTATCAATGTGTGCTCAGGCCCGAGGAAGACCATGAAGGGGCCGAGGAGTCGATAAGAATAATTAACAAACCAAACCCAGACTCGCTCGTGGTGTTAAGGACTGTGTACATATTCCCTCTCTACTCTTCATTTTAATCTATCACTCTGTCCCCAGAAAACCTGGGGAAACTTATATATCTTGTCCAAGGTCACATAGCTAAGAAGTGGCTGGGGCAGGGTTTGAGCTGTCTTCTGTGCTTTTTCTACTTTGCCATTTCAAAGTCTCTTCTAGAATTTTCCGTCTTCCCGGAGTTCCAGTGACTCCATGACTGTCTCGTCTTGTTGTTGCTTCAGCCAGGGCCCTGTTCTTGTCATTCCTCCTGGGCTCAGCATGGGGATCTGCACCCATGCCTCACCTCTTGTCAAAAGTCAGCTCCGTGTTCTGCAAGATGGCTCCGTGGTCAGACCCTTGCCTCTAAGTTTGATTATCTGAGGTCGATCTCCTGGTCCCATATGTTGGAAGGACAGAGCTAACTAACTCCTGTGACTTGTTCTTTGACCTCCACACATGCGCCATGGCACCCACACAGTTGCACTAATTCACACCCATCCACTCACCCACATATACACCCCCCCACACACACTCATACCTATCGACACATACACAGTCGTGCATACCTACCCTCACATACACATGCATCCTTACCCCCACAATCATGCACACACACGCTCATACCTACCCTCACATACACATGCATCCTTACCCCCACAATCATACACACACACGCTCATACCTACCCTCACATACACATGCATCCTTACCCCCACAATCATGCACACACACACACACCACACACACACACACACACACTCATGCTCATACACCCCTTCACATACTAAATAAAAAATAAATAAATAGAAAAAAAAAGTCAGCCAGCTGGAACCCTGCCGAGTAGCTCAGCTGAACTGAACCGGCACCCTACACCCTTCTTCAAGACAGCAGGGCAGGCCGGGCCTGCTAATTGTGTTTGTATTTGGGTTGATTTATATTTGTGCTCAGTATGCATCCTCACCCCCTACCAAGAAAGCAGATGGGTACGTTGTGCCTTTGAAAGAAATATAATTAAGGCAATTTAGCATCTTCCTTCAAGGATGCTCTTCCTCCTCAAGAGAGGAAATGTGTTTGGATCGGCTTTAGAATGTTTGAGGTTTCATTCTGTGGTACCCGCAGCTGGTGCACTCTGGAGGAGGCTGAGTGGGAAGGGGAAAGGCTTTTTCTTTTTTGTATTCCTAGGCCCTGGGACAGGAGGGGAGAAGCCATGGACTCAGGAGAGGGAGCCATTGGCATTATGATTTTGAGGAAGTCTCTTTCACTTTGTGAGATTCAGTGATCACTTTTGTTCTATGCTTCTTGAAGTGTGGAGAGGGGAAGCCGGAGCCTCCGGTAAACTAGGCAAGAGTGTTGAAATAAGAGCGGCAGGGCTGCGTTCCCGGCATCCGGCCGCCCGCATGGCTAGCTTATGCCCTAAATAATTACATGGAAACTGTATTCTTTCAAACACTGCCTGGCCCGGCTAGTTCCAGTTTCTTATTGGTTAGCTCTTACATATTGTTCTAACCCATTTCTAATATTCTGTGTAGCCCACGAGCTGGCTTACCAGGGAGGATCTTAACCTGTGTCTGTCTGGAGCGGGAGAATCATGGCGACTCCTCTACTAACCTTCTTTCTCCCAGAATTCTCTTCTGTATACTCCGCCTACCTAATTTTCTATCCAATAAAATGGGCCAAGGCAGTTTCTTTATTAATAAGAAACCACTCCCACATCACAAGAGCTCTACACGGAGCTGAATCTCCAGTACTGGTATTTTTTTTTTTTACTTTACTGTACAGTCACATCATACAATCCAGCAGCCTCTGGATCCTGAGTCTTTGGAGCCTCTGAGCAAGGCTTCCTGGTGAGCGAGAAGAGCAAGGCTGAGATTTTGTTTTAAATGCCTTGTGCTGCTGGCCTGGAATCCTAGGAATTCAGAAGGCCTATGAGGGAAGGGCATGTCAAGTTCAAGGCCTGCCTGGGCTGTGGATGAGTTTAAGGGCCTGAAAGCTTAGAGACAGGATGTGTCAGAATTAACACTGTTGCTGGAGTATAGCACAGTGGCCAAGTGCTTGTCTATGGTGTGAGACTCTGGATTCAGTCCTAGCACTGGAAAGTAAATGAACACTTTATTTTGTTAAGTGTAGTACTTTGAATGTAATTGGCCCGCATCATCCCAAAGGGAGTGGCATTCTTATGAGGTGTGGCCTTGTTGGAGGAAGTGTGTCACTGTGGGGTGGGCTTTGAGGTTTCCTATGCTCAGGATACTGCCAGTGTCTTAGTTGACTTCCTGTTGCCTTTAAGATATAGGGCTCTCAGCTCCAGCACGCTATCTGCCTTCACACTGCCTTGCCCCCCACCATGATGGTAATGGACTGAACCTCTGAAACTGTAAGTAAGCCACGACAATTAAATGTTTTCCTTTATAAGAGTTGTCATGGCTTGGCAATGGTGGTGCACACCTTAAATTAACACTAGCGCTCTGGAGGCAGAGGCAGGTGGTTCTTTTTGAGTTCAAGGCCAGCCTGGTCTACAAAATGTGTGCTAAGATAGCCAGGACTGTTTACACAGAGAAACCTTATCTCAAAAAATCATACACACACACACACACACACTCACACACACACACTCAGAGTTGCCATGGTTGTGGTGTCTCTTCACAGCAATAGGAAACCCTAACTAAGACATTACATATTTGTAAAATTTTAGAGCCCACAGAGACTTAACATTAGTTTTGTTGTTTTTGAGTCAGGGTTTTACTCTGTAGCCCTGGCTGGCCTTGAACTCCCAGAGATCCACCTGACTTTGCCTCCTGAGTGCTGGGATCAAAGGTGTGAGCCTCCGTGTCCAGCAGTAATTTCTGGTCATATGAAGCATAATAGGTCGTGTGCAGATTGCTGACATAAACTAGCTTCATAGTCAGTTTTTCTTTCATATTTAATTCATCCATGTTAGAAAACACACTGGTGTTGATCTACACAGTGAGTTCCAGGCTAGTTGGGGTTACACAGTGAGGCCCTGTCTCAAAATCAAACAAATATATGTTAAAAGTTAAAGGTGTTGTGCACCCTCAAGGTGCCTCCCTTGCCAGGTAACCACTGATTTGAAAGTCCCCCAAGGATGCCTCCATTTGGATGCTCTCTGTTTACTTTTTATTTATTTGCTTACTTATTTTTTTATATCCATCCATATATACACTTGAGGGCCTAGAGTGGAATCATAGCCCATATTATTTCCTTTCTTCTTTTTTAATTAATTTTTTATTACATATGCAGTGTTCTGCCTGCATGTATGCCTGCACACCAAAAGGGAGCACCAGATCTCATTACAAATGGTTATGAACCACCATGTGTGTGCTGGGAATTGAACTTAGGACCTCTGGAAGAGCAGTCAGTGCTCTTAACCACTGAGCCATCTCCCCAGCTCCCTCATTTATTTATTTATTTATTTTAATTTTTACTTTCCAGTAATGGGGATTGAACCCAGAGCCTTGTGTGTGCTGGGCAGGTGCTCTAGCTGCACAACACTCCTGCCTCCAACACTTAATTTATTCTCTGCCTATCAATACACACAGACCCACTGACTCTGTTTTCTGTTTCGTAGGAATAGACCCCAGAGCCTCACACATCCTAGGCATGCACATGAGCTGCATCCCTGGCCCTACTGAGTTGTTGTTAATTGCTTTACAGTAGTTAATATGTAGACATCCTATTCCTGTAACCAACAGAAAATCAGAGGCCTCAATTTCCTCTTCATCTTTCCCCGCAAGGATAAGCGACCTTTAGGTACGTGTGATGGCATTTTTGTAAGATGATACTTTGCAGCAGAATTGCTAAAAAGCCTTTTTTGTTTAAGATTTTGATAGATGCTGTCAGTTTGTGTGCCAAAACAAACAAAAACCACTGCCCTAACACATACTTGTCCTGGTAGAGTCCAGGGCATCTCCCCACAGGACTCCCAATGCTGTTTATCACTAACCTTATTAGATCTCTCCAGTCCGATGAGTGAAAGTCAAACCTAACATTACCCTAGGCACATGGCGCGAGGCCTGTGGCTTACACTGTAATATTAGTACCTAGAAGGAAGGAGGAGGCCGAGGGTCAGGAGTTCAAGGTCAGCCTTGGCTGCATAATAAGTTCACCACGTTCAACATAGTGGGCTCTTTCCTGGCCGTCTGAAGGTTAAATTTGGAAGTAGGACTCATGCATTATTATTATTTTTCCCTGCACCTTTCTTGAGAATCAAATCCTGCCCTTCCACTCAGCCTGGTCCCTGTGGAGCAGTAAGATGGGACTAAGTGATGAAGCTGGGAGGCGTGTGGGTTATTGAGCCAGCCCTGCTTCCCTCTGTCCCCTGGTACCTGAGAAAGAGACTGCTCTGAAGAACACCCCTCCCAGTAATGAGATCACACATATACACGCACAGCAGAAGGGCTGCCGGCCTCAAGGGATCCCAGCCTTAGGGAGCAGCAGGAGGAAAAGGGACAAACTCGAATCTCCTGTGGTCTGATCCTGTGGTCTCTCATAATGCTTTTGCAAGCTTTGACCTCATTTGTTCCCACAGCTGCACCTGTCGAATGTGACCAATCTATTTTCTAGAGGGAGAGACCCACCCAGACCAAGAAACCAGGCCCACAGAGCTAGCTGCCCATTTCTTAGCTGTGAAACTTTTGACTGTTTCTTCACCTTTAAAATGGGAGAAATACGCTGGAAGGTGTGGTGCACAACTTAAATTCCAGCACTTGGAAGGCAGAGGCAGGTGTATCTCTGTAAGTTTGAGGCCAGTCTAGTCTACAGACTGAGTTCCAGAACAGCCAGGGCTTATTTGTTTATTTATTTGGTGAAGTTTAGCTTTTTGAATGAGGACCTCATGTAGCATAGGCTGGTCTCAGACTCTGTGTAACTGAGGATTGACACTGAACTCCTGAGTATGTGGATGACGAGTGTGCCGCCATGCCTAGCTCGAGGATGATGGGTGTGCCACCATGCCTAGCTCAAGGATGATGGGTGTGCCACCATGCCTAGCTCAAGGATGATGGGTGTGCCGCCATGCCTAGCTCGAGGATGGCGGGGTGTGCCGCCATGCCTAGCTCAAGGATGACAGGTGTGCCGCCATGCCTAGCTCGAGGGTGTGCCGCCATGCCTAGCTCGAGGATGATGGGTATCCCGCCATGCATAGCTCGAGGATGATGGGTATGCCGCCATGCCTAGCTTAACTAGTGAGAGAGGGCAAGCCTTGTCACCTTCCTGATGTCATCTGTTGCACTGAATGAGCTCAGCCCATAGAAAAGTCAGAGAGAAGGATTGACATTGAAGGCTCCAGCATCCCAGGTGTGACCTGTAGGACCAGGACAGCTGGGGTGGCCTCTGGGCCTCTGTGGAAGGTTCAGATGGACCTGTGAAGACCTAGAGGCATCTCAACAATGCTCCTCATCTCTGTCAGATCCTGCCCTTCCTGCCTGATCCCCTCACGACAGATCTTTGTTTTTATCCATCCCATACCCTCCACCCCACACAAAAGCCCATCTAACCACTACCTTCTAAATATGGAATCATTTTGTTGTTTGTGTGTGTTGGAGACAAGGTCTCACTATGTAGCCCCAACTGTCCTGGAACTCACTATGTAGATCAGACTGGCCTCAAATTCACAGAAACCTGACTGCCTCTGCCTCCTGAGTGTTGGGATTAAAGGCGTGCGCCCCAACTGCTTGACTGATTCCAGCTGTTTTATGTGGATCTGGGGGTGAACTCAGGCCATCATGCTGGTGTTGTCTCCATGTGCCCCCATCTGTTTGCTTTGATTGGTACTAGGAATTGACTAAGGTCACTGCACATGCCAACAATCTACACCCCTATACCTACAGCCCCTTAAATACCTGTTTGTTTGCTTTGCAAGTTAGGATATCAAGATGAAGGGAGGATCATCAGAATCAGAGCCAGATTCCCTGACTTCCTCCGTGCCCAGCAGCCCCAGGGAGGACACGAAGGTTTCACTTTTCAGGCCCAGGCTGGCCTTGACTCTTTTCTTCATCCTCCTGCCTCAACAACCTGAGTGCTGCAATTACAGGTGTGTGCTACCCGGTCTGGAACAGTATTGTTGAAGAAGAAACGTTACTCAATACTACTTGTTAAAATGAGAGTCTCTGCTTGATCGGAGCTTCCTCAGGTGTTCGAAGCCCATCCCAGCCTCATCTATATACTTCCTTTAATGAAGGGTCTGGCTAGGTCCCTGGACTGGCTGCTTGTGTGTCCACTTGATACAAGCTAGAGTTATCAGGGAGGAAGGAGCCTCAGTTGAGGAAATGCCTCCATGAGATCCGGCTGTAAGGTATTTTCTCATTTAGTGATCAATGGGGGAGGGCACAGCCCATGGTGGGTGGTGCCATCCCTGGGCTCCTGGCCCTGAGTTTTATAAGAAGGTGGGTTGAGCAAGCCATGGGAAGCAAAGCCAGAAAGCAGTACCCCTCCATGGCCTCTACATCAGCTCCTGCCTCTGGAATCCTGCCTTGTCTGAGTTCCTGTCCTGACTTCCTTCAGTGATGAACAGCGATGCTGAAGTATAAACTGAATAAACCCTTTCCTCCCCAGCTTGCTGTTTGGTCATGGTGTTTC